ACCAAAGCTCTGTTTGCCTTCTATGGTCATTTCTCTTATTTAGCTGCAAGAGATTTCAGCAAAATTAGTGTATTTTTTTCAGGTGTTGATATAATAATGAGAACAACAACATCACTCATTAGTTGTTATTTTAAAGATTCTGAGATTCTGCACTAATTCTAGGTCACTATTCAATTTTAAGCAAAAACTGGCCTTGTTAAGGCCTTCATACAAAAAGATTATTATTTTTTTCAGTCTTATCTCTTCTAGTGAAGCTCGTGTTCAGACGACTTTCAGGTCACTGTTAGTGATCAGAGTCCGTACCTGCTTGATGCTGTCATTAAAGCAAAAAGTGGACAGACACTAAGAAAGTCTGAAGTTCATGTTAAAATTTCTAAGATTCTACTTTTCACTCAGATTGTTTTGCTGATAATTTATAATGCAAATTTGTATTAAATTATAAAACAATGGAAAACAGAAAATGTTACACCTAGTGGTCTCAGACTTTTAGGCCCCTCTGTGTATATATACTTTATGGTTTATATACAATTTATTGTGTATATGATTTACAGTAAATAGGGTAAAAAAAATCCTAATCTTTGTAAAATTGAGCTTTTTCCCTCTGACTACTCTGATGTACATTTGTTCTCTGTTTGATGTCCACTGTTATATGTATATTAAGCCCCTCCTACTCCACATAAATGAAGTTTAACCGGACAGCGAAGCTTCCTGTTTGGTACTGATACAGTATGTGATGGTCCTCATTTCAGTGATGGCTCTGCTGCTCTGTGTGATCGGTAAGTGTTTCTAAGCTGATTCTATCTTATTAAACTCAGAGTAAACAGTAGAAATAAGCTTGTTGTGTATGAGAGACGCTGCACTGTTCTCAGTAGAAAGTTCACAGGTTTACCACTAAATCTAATCCTGTTCAAATGAAAATTACAGCGTGTTGTTCATTTGTAAGCACTGATAAAAACTCTGAGAGGGTGATCTGCTGAAACTCTGTACAGTAGTAACTGAGGTCGCTGTATTCACACAGCTTAAATCAGGGGTGCCCAATTTTGGTCTTGGAGATCTACCACCCTTTAGAGTTTAGTTCCACCCCTAATCTAACTCGCCTGATCCAGGTAATGAAGGCCTTCAGGGGCGTCGGAATATTAGAGCCAGGTGTGAAGAGCCTGAACTCTCCAGGGTGGGAGATCTCCATGACCAGTGTTGGGCACTGTGAGTTTAAACCCACCAGTAATGTATTATCTATACACAGTGTAAAGCATACGTGTGTGTTTTATGTGTTTCAGGTTTACTGTCAGTGTGTTTGAGCTCTCAGGCTGGTTTAACTGTAGAAGCAGAACCTGGTGATGATGTCACTCTCTGGTGTCAACACAGTCTGACTCTGTCATCTTATTTATTCTGGCTCAAACACACAAACAATTCAGCACCAGTTTATATTGCATGTAAATATTACTCATTAACATTATCCTCCAAACCCTGTCATTTTATAGCTGAGAGTAACAGATCAGTGATGAGAGTGAACTCTATGAACTCCTCTCTCACTATAACTGCAGTTAATCACTCTGATTCAGGACTCTATTACTGCAGCGCTCAGAGCCAAAAGTTCATGACCTTCAGCAACACAACATATCTACAAATCAGAGGTAACGTCCATTATTTCACTAGATTAGCCATCAACTATTAATAAAATGGCTAAAGAGGATATTTGAGTTATGTGAAACAGCAAAATGAAACTGTGATTTTAAATCATTTTTATTCTTATTTTATATCCTTTCTTCAGAGATTAATCAAATATCTGTGGAGAACAAAACTAAATTTAAAGGTTTGTCTTTTACCGACATGCTCCTGCACATATTTTTTTTTATTGTCATTTTTCATTATTATTTATTGTTTATAATAGTCCATATCACATTGTACTGATCAGATATTGTTTTGTTTAAATATATGTTTATATGTATATAGATTTGTTGGTCAAATCTGATACTGTAAGATAAATGTTTGATGTTTTATGTGTAGATGGCTACAGATCTGATGTGTTCTTCCTGCTGGTTCTGGTGTTTGGAGCTGTGATTGTGGTTCTGCTCAGTGTTCTTCTGTTCCTGCTGTTGATCATACTGAAGCACAGAGAACAGCACAGAGAGAGTAAATATAGCTCATTACTGATTATCCTCAATATATAGTGCTGGATTTTTTCTCCCAAAATGTAACCTTAAAAGAAATAAAAAGAAATAAACTAAAACACAAAAACTAATCTTTTCTTTAGATTTACTTTGAAATGTTTCAAAACACGTTGCTCAAGATGAATTGCAGTTTATAAAGAAAATGAGACGAATGATGAATGAATGAATGAATGAATGAATGAATGATGTAACTCAATGTACCTGTTTCCACAGATTCTAACTCTAAAGAAGAGAATGAGGTAATTCTAAAACTGATTTCAAGACTTTAAAAACTAGTTTATTTTATTGGCTCTTCTGAATTTTTCTTTGTGAATTTGAAACTCTGGTGTTTTATATCTCGGTGTGTTTGTGTGTGTGTGTGTGGTATTACTTGATACAGTAAAATCAACTCATCACATTTTTCCCAGGAAATTATTGATTTAAAAACTTTGTTGCTTTCTATTTGTGTTTTACTCTATTATCTCTATACTGTATTCTGTTTGTATTCTGTGTGTGAGGTGTGTGTTTTCTGTATTACTGCATTAACAGGATGGTGAAATGATGAACTACACTTCTCTACACTTCAACAAGAGAAACAAGAGATCAGACAGACAAGTAGAAGCAGAAGATCCACATATCATATATTCTTCTGTAAGACAGTAATGTTTGATTTAAATAAACTAACACGTGGATTGTGATTTGATTGTGATGTTTAATCAGACAAAGTATAATGCATTGAAATCCTATGAACATGTTTAATAAATGCTCATATGAGCCCAGACACAGTCAGGGCTCATTTCTATCATGAAGACTGTGAGCTACACTTTTAAATTTACTCCAGACACGACCAGCAGTGATATTAATGTAGTCTTTGATTCAGTTCTCTTTAAATCCACTCACTTGCTGAAATGGCTGATCACTGTCTGAATAGTTTTGCTTCTACTTCAAGAAAATGTCGACCACCTGACTGATTTATATTTTCACCAGTATTTTAGCTATAGAAAATAGAGAAAATGTGTATGTGTAAGGTAATGAATGTAAATAAAATGTAAATAAAAATAGGATGCAATGATGTGCAAATCATGTAAACCCATATTTTTAAAGGAAAATACTACAAAAACAACATATCAAATGTTGAAACTGAGACATTTTATTGTTTTTTGAAAAATATTTGCCCATTTTGAATTTGATGCCAACAACACATTCCAAAATAGTTTGGACGGGGGCCTGTTTACCACTGTGTTTCATCACCTCTTCTTTTAACAACACTCTAAGCGTTTGGGAACTGAGGAGACACTGCTGTAGTTTTGAAAGAGAAATGTTTTCCATTCTTGTTTGATACAGGATTTCAGCTGCTCATCAGTTCAGGGTCTCCTTTGTCATATTGTTAATTTCTAAATGCACCAAAGTGTTATCAGTGGTGACAGGTCTGGACTGCAGACAGGTCAGTTTTGCACCCAGACTCTTTTAATACAGAGCGATGCTGTTGTAATACATGCAGAATGTGGTTTGACATTATCTTGCTGAAATAATCAAAGCCTTCCCTGAAAAAGACGTCATCTGGATGGCAGCATATGTAGCCAAGACATGCGTTTATCATTCAGCATTAAAGGTGCCTTCACAGATTTGCATGTCACCCATGCCATGTACACTAATACCCCCCTACACCATCATGAATACTGGCTTTTGAACTGTGCACTGATAACAAGCTGGTCTTTAGCCCGGAGGACACAGTGTCCATGATTTCCAAAAAGAATTTCAAATGTTGATTTGTCAGATCACAGGACACTTTTCCACTTTTTTTACAGGTGTTTTTAGCATTCCACAACTTTACCAGTCTTTTGTAGCCCCTGTCCCAACTTTTTTTTGGTATGTGTTGTTGGCATCAAATTCAAAATGGGCTTATATTTTTCAAAAAAACAATAACATTTCTCAGGTTCAACATTGCATATGCTGCCTTTGTACTATTTTAAATTAAATATAGGGTTTAAATGATTTGCACATCATTGCTTTTTGTTTTTATTTACATTTTGCACAGTGTCCCAATTTTTTGGAAATGGGGTTGTACACAAAGTGCTGCTTTCAGTGTTGGTATGAACCTGGAGAGGTCACTTCTTCCTGGTGACTGGTGATCCTGACTAGCATGCTTCAGTGTGATTGAATGGCTGGTGTTAATAAAGCTCTGAGTCTGAGACTTGCAGTCTTGCTATGATGGTGGAAAACTTCAGTTTTGAACTTGATGTTAATAGAGGCTTTTACAGTAACGACTTCTGAGAGCAGTGAAGGGAAATAAGAAGCACTGAGTAGAATTTAGGCATTTTATTTCATTCATTCTGTTCATGTTTGGCCATAATGGACATAAGTTTTTATTCACATTTTTCTCACATCAAAGGGTAAAATAGTGTGGAAAACCTCTCATCTACACTGAAAATGGACTCAAAAATAATATATATATATATATATATATATATATATATATATATATATACACACACACACACACACACACACACACACACACACACACACATCATATTAAATTAATTCTCCATATTAAATTAATTTAATATGGAGAATCACTTGAATACTTCTAATTGAAATCAGAGGCATATTTTAAAGTTTTACCAAAATTTTTTCCTTTAAATATGATTTGTGTTTCAATAAATAATCACCTAAATTTGTGTCTTTAACAGATTTTAATCTACGGTATATTTAATATTACATATGAAGATGAAACCCTGTTCCATGTCCTTACTTACCCCCCACAATATCACTAGGGCCTCAGTGGGGTCTATCAGTTATCTTGCACATGTGCTCACGCCCTCATTAGATACTGAGTTCTCACTGTACTTTCAGTATTCAAACTGACGCAGGACAGAACGTTTCTACAAACGAAAACGTCTGCACGGCTGAAAATGGATTATTATACAGTGATAGAGAAAAGCCTGTTCATCCTCATAGTTTACATTCATCTAACATCAGCAGGTGAGTCTGTTTCTGCTCAGTAAACAATCTAGAACTGTTTAAAAAATAGTCTATAAATGTCATTCTGAGTAATGTCTTCTAGAGGTGTCTGTACACATTTAACAGGTCTGGATTGGTGAATGTGCTGTTCATCACTTCTCAACATCAGTTAGCTATCAGTTAGGATGCTGATGTTCTAGAAATCTAGGTCTGTTCTCTTTCTGCTGAGAGAACCACCCATTAGAGTGAGATACAGGTTGTGCAAATTAAGACAAATACAAAAACTGTAATGTGGAATGATTTTCACAATTGGTAAATTTCACATGCTTGATTTAAAAAAATAGTAACTACTCCTGAGCTTCAGACTGGCCAGCATAATCCATTAGTAATGAATAATTACTTCTCTCTGACTGTAACAACTTTACTGATTGCTTTACTTCTGGGTTGCTCTCGAAAACCCAAACACATCTGTTTGAGTGCAAAGTACAGCAGACATTTCAGACCTTAATTAAGAAAGATTCAATCATAATACACATCATTTAAAAAGCTCATCACTATTTCTGACTCTCTGACTGTGAACAACATGCAGCCAGTTATGCTGTTTGAAAATCTCGAAACTATTTAGTAGAAACAGTCCAAAAAACGAACATTCAAAATTTATTGGAAATGTAAAGCTTACAGAGCTGTTTCTGAATGAAAATCGTATTAACATGATTAGATGCTTCAACAGATCACTTGTAGAGTTAATGATGCTTTCCAGGCTCACACTGCACTGCTCATACACTAACAATTGAAGCTGCACTGTCAGCTAAAGCAAAGCACACACATGCGAGGTGCGTACAAGGGCATGGGATAGTCTATAGTATCATTATTATTATTGTTATTATAATTATTATTATTATTATTGTGCCATCAAGTTGTTTCCAGCTCTGGGTGACCATCTGGATAGTGTTTCTCCAGAATGTCCTGTCTTCAACTCTTCCAAGCATAATGGTCTTTTCCAACATATCAGTTCTTCTCAGAATGTGTCCAAAATAACAGCTTGGTTATCTGGACTTTGAGTGGGAGGTGAGGCTTGATTTGGTTGAGGATCTATTTGTTTGTTTTCTCTGCCATCCAAGGTTCTCTTAAAAGTCTTCCAACACTAAAGTTCAAAGACATCCATGCTTTTCCTGTCTTGCTTGTTTACTGTCCAGCTTTCACATCCATGAAAACCACAAAGGAGACCATTCTTCTTCTCTATCCCACATATTCCAGCCAGTCCCAACTAGAAGGGCCTGGGTTTGATTCCCCAGCCAGGTGACCTGTCTGTGTGGAGTTTGCATGTTCTCCCCTGGGATAGACTCCAGCACTCCCTGTGACCCAGGAGGATAAGTAGCTCAGATGATGAATGAACAAGGAAAATTGAATATCTGAAGGTTCCTTTAACAGCGCAGAGTGATTTATGTTCTTTTAGGCCTCATGCTGTTCTGTCTCATATTATCTGGTTTGTTTTGTTGTTTGTTTGGATCGTTTTCATTCTTATCTTAATGCTGAAGTGAACATTCGGGTTTTGATGTTTCAACCAGCCACTGGAATCCCTTACAAACTACATTACTAAGCTCATATTACACTACTTTATTACAAAACAAAGGACTTACAGTGTAATTGATAAAAGCACTGCTCTTTAGTTGTGTCAAAAGCTATTTGACTGCTAAACATGAGTGAGTAAGTGATTTACAAGGGACTTCTCATCTGAAAAGTAATTAGATTACTGTAATGTGTTACTTTGTACCACATTTCCTGCAACACTGCTAGTCGTGTTGACTGAACACCACTGTTATTACTGCCAGTCTATGCACAGCACCTTTATTCTCTCTGCCTCTCTGAAATTAAAATAAAGAACAAGACCACACGGAGAGAGAGAACATTAAGACCAGAGGAAAGAGGTTCAGGTGCCAAATCACACAGAAAACAAATTACTACCACATGCAGGTGTCAATTCCCATTATCCATTAAGGCCTGTTAGCTTTAATTAGCCTAATTCTACATTACTAATCTTTGTGCTTGACATATTGATGCAAATGTCCTCAACAATGGAAACAGAATCAGATAAAAACAGCACTGACAGTTGTAAATGGATTGTACAGTCAGTATCTCCTGACTCCATTCTGAATATGGAGATGAAGATGACAGTGTGCAGGTTAAAGAGAGTCTCTTCCTCCATCTTAATAGATATTTTTATCTTTTTCAGTTTCTCACTCTCTGAGCTACTTCTACACTGGAGTCACACCAGGAATACATTTCCCAGAGTTCACTGCTGTCGGTCTGCTGGATGGAGAGCAGATTGTGTACTACGATAGTAACATCAGGAAATTGATCCCAAAGACAGACTGGATGAAGAAGAGTGAGGATGAAGATTACTGGAACATGGAGACACAGAAACATCTGGATGATCAGGAGGTCTTCAAAGTTAATCTAGCTACAGCAATGAAGCGCTTCAATCAGACTGAAGGTGAGGATGAATATGAATATGAGCTTTAACACTGAACACCAGCTCTACAGTTACACTAAAATAGTATGTTTTTCTCTTTTTTCTTCCAGCTGCTAAGACACACATTCTGAAATTACATACAATTTTTCTCTATAAACGTAAAATTAAACCTGCCTCCAGATCTGAGCAAACTTCAGATTTCCACAACAAAATTAAAAGACTTAAACATAAAAAAAAAACATTAATAATATGTTGTTATCTTCCATCTAGTCTCATTAGCCAGACTATCATCAGAGAGTCTGGTGCATTTTAATGCCTAATATAGCCAAGAATCACCTACTTTGACAGGAAAGGGCTGTTTCACTGACATAAATGCATTCTGGGTATTTTCAATGATCAGATCGATCAGCTCAGCTCACCAATAACAGCCTTTCATTCAGCTTCTAAATGGTTCTTCATTCAGTACTGTTTTACATAAAGTTTACTATTTATAAACTTAGTATCTTCTAATAAATGTGTAGTAAAATGAAATGTATGAGTAAAATAAAAACACCTCAAAATTTGTAATAGTTTCACTACAAGGTCTATACAAGTTGCACTGCATGTGTTTTATTAAGAGAAAAAAGGAGCAAAAATAGAATTATAGCATGTTTTTAAGCCCCAAGTTTGGATTTTTAATGAAATACCCAGATTTTTATTGTATGCACTTAAGATTAAAACAGTTTTGGACAGTGTTACCATGTAACCATTTCATATATTTTACTGTTTTAATATTTGTCTGTGCTTTAGGTTATCAGTAATGGTTAATGTTGTATGTTGCTAGTAAAAAAGAAAAAAAGCCATCACATACAGTCATTTCCATTGCCACACACATTTTCAAATGTAGAGACCATATTACTGTTTAACAAATACATTGTGTTACTGTTATAAGATATTATTAGATTTCAGATGTGGTGAAAATATGTGCTCATGATGGAAAAAATACAAATTTCATAATATTCTTCAGTGATGTGTGCTCATCTTCAGATCACGTAACTAGTTAACTGATTAAACTACTGAGACATGTGTGTTTAGAGAGAGTTTCTTCTAAAGATTCACAGGGCCAAAAGTGCCCAAAGCCAAAGAAAGAGGCAGCAGTTAAAGATAGACAAACAGGCACAGTACAAACAAGTCCATCAAGAAAGTTTAGGATCAGCCCATCTAAAAAAAAAAAAAACAATCCATAATAATGGCATATTTTGCTTGTTTCATTTATTGATGTGAGGTGTCATTTGAAAGTAACAAAAACATTATTGGACAGATGTGATATTACAATGTTTGAATAAGAGCTTATATTAATAACAACTCATTCATCTCCAGAATAAAATTTTATTAGCCAAGTTATGCAGATTCATGTTAAACCAATGTTAATAACAGCAGTTTCCAGTGTTTAAAACTAGAAAATGAGATAAAGCTGGACAACTGATATCAAAATTGCATGTTTTTTCCCGATCATTCAGTTTCATTTCACAATCTTTGAACAATACAAGATGATGTCACACAACAGTGTGTAACATACAGTTCGCTTTGAGAGGATTTTAAAGCAGAGTCTCAAGCAGAGTCTGGCAAATGATATTAAGAAGCAGCAACACAAACATCTTTTTGTAATGTATGGACTACAATTTGTAATGGATGGACTACATGTCTGTAGTTTGTTACTCTCAGGTTTTAGTGAATCATAACAACAGAAATAAGTAATAATTTCTTAAAATTAACCTTTTTATTCAAACTACTAACGCGGCTCACCGAGGCTCAGTACTGCAATAATGACACTATCAGCACTGAAGACAACTGTCGTACAACGTGGATGAGCTTAGAAGAAAAATTTACTGTACTGTACTGTACTGTACTCTGTGTGTGTGTGTGTGTGTGTGTGTGTGTGTGTGTGTGTGTGTGTATCTGCAGGGGTTCACACAGTGCAGTGGATGTACGGCTGTGAGCTGGATGATGATGGAACCAGTACAGGATACATGCAGTACGGCTATGATGGAGAAGACTTCCTCAGTCTGGACCTGAAGACTGATACCTGGACTGCAGCCAACGCTAAAGCTGTTATTACCAAACAGAAGCTGGAGAGGACACCTTATTATGCTGTGTTCCAAAGGGCCTACCTGGAGAATGAATGCCCTGATTGGTTACTGAAGTATGTGGAATATGGCAGATCCACTGTGGAGAGGAAAGGTACAGTGATCTGATCTGTTACTGTAACTGCAGCTGAATTCAGGAAGAGTAACTTTTAATCATGTAATAGTGGGCAGTCGTGTGTATATACTGCATTATTAGAGAGAGCAGAATACTTAAAACAAGTGTAATGATATTAAATTATATTTGTATTTTAAAGATCTGTTGTTAAATTAATCTTAAAATGTAGCAAAGTAAACTAATTTTTCAATTTCATATCATTTTTGTTTTGCTGCTTTCACACTGTTTTCATCATCCTCACTGAAAAGCTGCTGCTCCTTCACTCATTACTGAACAGGATTTGTTTCTTAAGTGGAGGAACAAAACACTGTGCAGTGTTTATTTATATTTTTCAGCATCTCTCTCTCTCTCTCTCTCTCTCTCTGTGTATCCCTCCCTCTCTCTCTCTCTCTCTCTCTCTCTCTCTCTCTCTCTCTCTCTCTCTTTCTCTCTCTCTCTGTGTGTGTTTCCCTCTCTCTCTCTCTCTCTCTCTCTCTTCCTCTCTCTCCAGTTCCTCCTGAGGCGTCTCTGTTCCAGAAGGACTCTTCTTCTCCAGTGGTGTGTCATGCTACAGGTTTCTTCCCCAAAGCAGTGATGATCTCCTGGCAGAAGAATGGAGAGGATCTGCATGAGGAGGTGGAGCTCAGAGAGACGCTACCCAACCAGGATGGAACCTTCCAGAAGAGGAGCGTTCTGACTGTCTCACCTGAGGAGCTGAACAGACACAACTACACCTGCATCATTCAGCACAGCAGCCTGGAGGAGGAGATGGTGCTGCAGGTGTCTGATCACAAGATCCTGCAAGGTAGGAGAAGTTTTTTAAGAAAGAAAGTAGCTGTGTTTCAGTTTCAAAAATGATTTGCTGGGGCAGAGAACAGATGATCTGATGTAACATTCTGGTGTTTCAGATGGAGGGTCAGTTGGTCTTATCATAGCTGCAGTTCTAGCTGTTCTCCTGACTGTCCTCAGTGTCTGTGTTGTATTGCTCATTCAGAGGAGGAACTCTGGTAAGTGTAGAGAGTTGAACATATTGAGTTAGTGAGATCACAGATTTCTTACACAGAGTTCAACACATTTATCCAGTAAAATTATGAATTTTCATAATTAATTATTATTATTAATAATATTAATTATTTCTCTTTATAAGCTGAGAAGCTGCCAAAGTGTGTTGATAAAACAATGAATATAGAAGTAAAGGTCATTCTGTACAGCTGTAGGTTTTATTACATACATTTTATAGCACATAATTCTCTTATGACGGGCTCTGTGTGGTGTATATAGTCAGGTAAAATGATAATCATCCACTCATCTCTGTTTCAGGTTTTAAACATGTTTCGAGAAGCCCCAGTTCAGGTAAATCAGCCTTTCTGAATTTTCTCTTATAACACTCTGTATCAATACTCAGAGTCAATTCTGATATATTTTTATTGTTTTAAGGTTGTGAGTCTGAAAGAAGCTCATCCACCATCTCCAGCACCTCATCTGAATGATGATCAGTTGCAGTTAACAGCACTGATGAAACACCACTGTTTTATATGTACAAACAGAACAGGCCAGAAATGTTACATTGTTGCTCTGTTAACAACCATCACAGCGTGTTTGTTGAAAACTAGCTTATTGGCCTCTATGTGGAAACGTCTTCTCTGTGCTGATAACCGTTTCCTACAGTGAGCTGGTTTGAACTCTTCCAAACTCTGAATGTAGCACCTCATTGAATTAATAAACTTTCAGGTGTGAGTGAGTGAGTGAGTGAGTGAGTAAGTGAGTGAGAGAGAAAGAGAGAGAGAGATTTTTTGGGTTTGTTTATTTTCATATACCAGGGGGGTGTTCCACAAAGCAAGATTTTTCAGTTTAGCTAGATAACTTAAGCCCAAAGTCAAGCCTGTCCAATAGGAAAAGAGCTGAGGGACCTCCCCATTGGATAGTCCCCAACTTTGGGCTTAAGTTATCTGGCTAACTGAGAAATCCTGCTTTGTGGAATACCCCCCCCCCAGGTTGGTTGGTTTGTGTTTTGGTTTGTCAGGCCCTGTTTTGTTATGCACTTTTGCCTTTTTTTTTCTTTTATCTTTTTTTTTTAGTGTTCGTCTTTGTAAATTAGTATATTTTGTAGTGGATTACAGTAAAACAAAGGATTTGCACATGCACACTGCCTCTTTGCCTCCCTCAGTGTTACAGTTTGGGTGAGAGCTGTAGAGATTTCACTGCTAATGTATTGATACAGATGGAACTTCATAATGTTTTCCAAAATATGCACAAATATCAAAGCTTATTTGCTCATTGTTACCTCTCTAATATGGCTAATCCGTCCCCACAGCCCAGTACAAAGAATATAGTTGGGAAATTTTGTTTAAAGATGTCAGGAAGCACCTGAAACTCTTTCCTTAATCATGTTGGGGTCTAAATTGATTTCATGTCTCTGAACCTGAATGAGTATATTTTTATCAAGCATTTTTTTAAGTCAAAATGTACTGAAATAAATTAAATAAAGAAACTGTAAGAGAAATGAGTGCAGGAGTGTCTTTACTTACAGCTGCCAGTCCGGTTATTCTTCTCTGGACATTGACTGACTGTGTGACCAGAACATGTTCAATCTGACGTCTCAAATAAGTGTGTGAGGTATGAAGGTGACGTCCTGCAGGCTTTAATAATATCACAGCAGCACTAGCTATAAACAAACGCACTGCTTTTAAAACAGAACAAATCTCCAATATGAGCAAGGGAGACAGATGTGATTAAATAAGATCTTTTTTAATCAAGAGAAGTATTATTTATAGGGTTTAGCTCTGTGTAGCATATTATTTCATTCTAAAGGACTCTCACTGCTTTTCTGTTGGGGTCTGTGGTCAGGGGGGCGTGTCTGGGCATGTAAACAGTTCAGCCCAGAGTTTTTTTTTTCACAAAGCAGGATTTCTTAGCAAGCCTGATAACTTAGGCCTAAAAACAAGCCTGTGAGAAGAGCAGAACATTCCTAATGGGCAGTCCTCAGATTTTGGCCTAAGTTATCCAGCTTCTCTCGAATGTCCAGACACATTTTATCTGAAGTTTTATTTTGCTGATATTTTAAAATGCTGAATAGTCATTCGGTAAAACTCTTAATAATCTACTGATCTGCAATCAATTATATTTTATGAAACACATTAGAACTACAGTGTATGAAGTATGAGGCTGTCATCAGTTTAAGAAAACATTCAATCTTAAGAAGCTTTTCTTTAGTGAGTCACTTTTGTGAATCCAACCCCAGAATAGGACTTTTTTTTTTAGAGTTAAGTTATCTAGATTAGATAAAAATGTCCTAAAAGTGTCATCAGGAGTTTTTATAGATATTTTTTTATTATCTTTAAAATGCCCAAATTTCGTTAAAGAATAGAAATAGTTCATTAGTTTGGCAAAAGTTAGATTTTTGAGGTGTAAAGATGTAAACATGTCTTCTGCAGCACACTGTTTACAAATAACATTTCCTGCAAATGATAAGGCACAGTTACTTTATATTTGATCATAAAACAGCGATTGTAGCATTGTGCTAAAGTTTGTACACCTTCCAGTTGTAAAGTCTCAGAAGTTTTAACTCATCAGGCCGTATTGACGCTTTATTTTATTCTGTTTTCATAAGTTTATCAAATATAAACTAACCGTGCAGTAACATTAACATACTGTAACCATGCAGTAACGGTAACAGAGGTTTGCTGTAGAGATGCTGAAACTGAACGAATGAATGATCCTCAGAGTGGAGAGTAAAGGGAAACATATTAGAGGCAATAGTAGGACTGCTATTAATATCAGTGTTTTTCCAATACAATAACCATTTCACAGTTATTGTTATGAATACATTCTGATTTTCAAAGTTCATGCTCAAAGCTGCTCCTTGTTTTTAGTGTGTAAGTCTTGTGGCACATTTTAAAGGCAGCCATATTTCAGTGAAATACATGTATGGGTGTGTGAACACCCTCCTACTTATAACAGACGTATGTGTTGTATGAAAAATAATGCATTCTAATGTACAAGCTCCACCCCTCCATACAGCTACAGCAGAATTTGAAGAGAGACTGAAGCTTCCTCTGTGACACTGATATGGTGTAACTGTTGATGTTTGAGTTACGGCTCTGCTGCTGTGTGTGATCGGTAAGTGTTTCTGTAATCAGAGTTATTCTAATATTATTTACTCTTCAGTCTCGAGAGTGTTGGTAGAAAAGATCAAAAGAGCAGCAGAGAGACAGTGAAGTACCGCACTTTTAGTAAAAGTAAGTTACACCTTTAAAATATGCACTTCTATAGAAAATGAATACTGTATAATGCTATATAGATTGTGACAAAGTGTAAATCAGTCCCCCAGTAAGAATAACAGTACTTGGCAATGCAGCTTATGCTGTTTTTCCATCAGGCAGAGCAGAACAGCATGGTACCCTTTATAAATCTATGACCAGGTCGAGTACTACGTGCTATGCTTAGCGTAGGCTGGAGTGGTGTAAAGCACGGTGACACTGGACTCTGGAGCAGTGGAATTTGGCCAGAGGTGTTCAAACTTTTGCACACAAAGTCAATTTAATTCACTTGTGTTAGTGAATTAAATTAGTCAAGATATTTGGTAGCCTTGACCAGTGAAGCCGGTCAGTTACACTGTCAGACTAAAACCCCATTATAGGTTTACTGATGTACAGAATATAATGTGGTATTTATTTACTATCACAAAAGAAACTGGACTAGATTTTAATGTTCATATTTCTTTGTCTCTTACACATTAATAATATGGGAAAAATACATTGAAATATACAAAAAACAAAAACACTTATAGTACTAGGGCCACTGCAAAACTGACCCTCAGCTATTCTAAACCAACTCACTGCATTAAAACCACATGCCTGCAGATGAACACGGCTGCAGCTGTTTACATTATACAGTTATAATTTTCCATTGTCACAGATGATCACTGTCATTTACTGAGAGGTGATGAAACACAGAGGAGCAGATAAACAACCACTCAAACACCTGAACAGAGTTAGCAGGCCTTAATTTACACTCTACAAAACCCTTTCCTCCACCACCACCAGCACCACCATCATGAATGGTCTTTTTCTACATTCTAATATGCTTTTATCATTCATTTAAGCCGACACATCCTCAGAGAACACACTTCTGCACAGTTTAACGCACAATTACTGTTTATTTACTGAAATGGACAGATTTGGGAAAATGGTCTGTGCAAAGGTTATGGAACATTTTATATGTTTTTTTTTTTCCTAATGTGTTAAAAATCCATAGAAATGCACTAAACACTGCAGAAAATGCTTTTTTAAAGATTGTCCTCTGTAGAGTTCTAGTATGATGTTCTATTGCTGATACTAAATAACAGTCATCACCAGGTTCTGGTGCTGTGATGATACTCTGGGTCCTGTAAACCAAATCTAGTGTAACATCTGCTCTGGTGTTGTTTTAGCAGATGAGTGAACTGTGATCAGCAGTAACTGAAGGTGCTGCTGTTCTCTGGTAAAGGAAGTGAGTGATGGATGTTAAACTGCTGCAGACGTGTGGTTTTAATGCAGCGAGCGGATTTATTTATTTTTTTTTAAATAGTCATGTTTATGTAACAAATGACAGTGTAATGTTTTAGTCCATGCCTGCAGTGTGTGGTGGAAGAGAAGTTTATCTGTGATGATATAAAGTTAAGGAAACTGCTGATGTGACTGAATTTCAAAAAAGAATGAAATTAGTTGAATATAAACAGAATATTTGCACGAGCTCAAAATAACCAGGGTGGGGGGTGATCTTTCGTTGGAGTCCTCTCTTGATCAGGTTCACCTCTTGATGTGGTATCCTCACCATCTGAGGGAGGAACTGAGACAGACTGACATGTTGGGTTCAACTCGCCAGTGACTGTCCATCCCAGTCACCACTAAAGCACTGCAACCATAATCCATGAGCCGCATTACAGTGTAGAACATTGAACATTTCTTTGGGATCTGAAGTTATATGTGAGATGTATTACAGTGTGGATCACTGAACCTTTTCGGTTTGGATCTGCATCTGTGAGCTGTATGAGGAAGTAGACGGACTGGGCCAGGCCATTTTTCTGCTTTTTATATTTCACTCTCTTCTTGTCTTCATTCTTATATGTTTTTTTTCTGTTCTTTTCCTTCTTTAGTCCGTATGTTCTAGATTTACGCTGGGAGAATTTACCATGCTGGTAATATTGGCTGTGTTTTTATTGCTCCTCTTTTTGTTTCTTATCATCTGAGTGCCTGTGACTTGTAGATAAGACCAGGCCTGCGTGATGCACTAGTTCCCCCTCTTGGTGCCTCTTTTGTAATTGGCTAAGAAGAGGCACTTCCTCTGCTGTAGGCGTTGGTGTTAGTATTTTGCCCCAGTGATACTTTTTAACCTTACTAAATTTACCAGTGCAGGCTGATGCATGTGAAGGTTGGGTTTTGTTTAACAGGACAGAAGACGCCACTACTTCTTTGACTCTAAGCCTAAAACTGATTTGTCTGATTATGACTAGAGGAAGTCGAAGCCTTTCTTAAAGCTTATTCAGGGAATATAACTGCTTATATATGCTTATGAATGCTAATATAATTGGGAAAGTGAGAAGGCTGGATGTGTCAGCAAGTTTTACTGATGACAAACTAGAATAAACACATGAGACTGCAAGACTAGACCAGGAAAGACTGAAACAAAGGGCCAAACATACACAAGACACACTGAAGACCACCTATAAGAACAACAAGGGAATTACACACAGGCAGGAATCCGAATGGGAAGTATTTTTTTTTTTAACATTGCAGCAACAGGCTATTAACTGTGTTGAAAAAGGGGAGAGGCCTGTAGCTCAGTCTCGTCAGACTCTTATCAGGGTGGGACAGATGTAAGTGTAGAAGGGGTATGCAGCGCAGAGGGGGTAGAGGGGATCAAGGCTTTCTACTCAATAAACAGCAGTCACAGATCACCAGCATGCTAAAAAGTTTGAGGAAACTAGAGTCTGTGTTGGTTCAACCTGTTTTTCACTATAGCCAGAAGGCCCTTAATTCAAAGCCCACAGCATTTGTTGGTAAATTACTGACACAGGTGGTAAAGTGCTCTCATGGCTGCGTAACCTTCATAGAAAAGCACTGGAAGTACTGCATGAGATTTTTGACAAATATCTGTTTCCAACTTAGTGGCAGCAGTTTGAGGAAGGTTCTTTATTGTTTCAGAATCACAGTGCTCCCATACGCAAAGTGAGCTCCATCAACAAACAGTCGGTTGACCACCCCATTAGCACCTTTGAGATGATTTGGAGCTGATGCAGAACTAATCATCCACCATCAGTACCTGCCCTCACTAATGCTCTTGTGGCTGAATCTTCACAGCAATGTTCCAACATCTAGTTTAAAGCTTTCCCAGCAGAGTAGAGGCTGTTACTGCAGCAAAGGGAGGACAAACTCCCCATTAATACCCTTCATTTCTGAAGAAAAGCTAGAAGAGCAGGTGTCTAGAAACATTTGGACACATATCATATGTTATGTTATTGCTGTGT